CAGGGCATGATCCCGGAGTCCCACGTCGGGCTCCCTGCATGGAGCCTGCTTCTCCCTCTGCCTGTGTCTCTGTCTCTATCTCTGTGTCTTTCATGGATAAAAAAACAAAATCTTTAAAAAATAAGATAATAAAATAAAATAAAATAAAATAAAATAAAATAAAATAAAATCTGGTCCTCTGCTCTATGCCCTTGCCCTCTTCCCATCTAATTTCTGGCAGAATTATCAGTAGCTGAATGCCTTCTTTGTGACATGTCTTCCACATGTATTGTCACTAATCTTAATATCAACATGCAAAGATGGTATTACTGCTACTTTAGCAATGTAGAAAATGAGGCACAGAGAAGCTAAGCAGCTTGCCCAAGGTCACACAGCTAGTTAATAACAGAAATGATATTCCAACCAATCTACCCAAGCCCCTCAATCAGTGAGTGAAATTTTTCGGAATTGAGTTCAACATTTCTCTGCCATTTCACAGACTCCTGGGGTGGGTGAAGATCTTTTGCATCCTGTAATGAAGTATTTTCTTTTACTTTCTTTCTTTCTTTTTTTTCAGTCATAGACTGATAGTAAGAAACATTTTACATCAAAGCTCTCCCCCCACGGGCACATGCAAAGAAGAGCTGATACCCGTGTTTGCATGTGTGAGTGTTTGTAAAAGGAGGCAGGGCCAAGCTAGAGCTTTTAAGGCTCGTAATAATGATTTGTTTACTTGCATAATGCGTGTTTCCTAGGCCACGCCAGCTTGAGGGGAGAGCTGGGATCAGAACCAGCACAGGCTGTTCCTCTCTCGCTTTGCTTTCATCAGCTCCCCCAGAATCTCCAGCTCCTCCACGAAGCCCCAGTCCAGTTTCTGAGGATGCCCAGAGAACATCACACATGTGCACCCAAACACAGGCCAGGTCCTCATGTCCCTCCTCTCATGCTCTGGCTCCCTGCTGGCATCATTTGTCAACTCTTCGATGTGGCTGTCACTGCTGCTGGGCCACTAATGTTGAGCTGCTCCTGGTGGAAAACCCAATGACTTTGGTGATGTGTGAGTGAGTCATGGGCTTGGACGGGGATGCTGTTGTATCTCCACAGCAGCTCCAGTGCCACAAGGCTGTGCGCAGTTCCTCCTAGCACCCACGTGCAATGCCCTGATATCCACTAAACTAGAAAAAAATCCCTTTTGTCACAGGGATCCCAAAGTACATTCTTCTCACCCCTTCTAACATGTTCAAGGCATGTTCAAGGGCAACAGGCTGACAACAATCTCCATCCTGTGTTCATACCCACCTTCTTTTTCTCCAGCTCTGGATCTTGTCCTTGGACTGAGCTTGGGTGTTCTCACTCTCACCCAGACTGGTGAGTTCTTTCTTTCTCAGGAGGATCCTTGGTTGCTTTATGCAAATAGACTCTTGGCAAGGCCACAGACTGTCATCTTGCCCAGAAGTGCCTGCTCCCTAGAGTGAATACAGACTTAAGAGAAACCCATTTTTATTTGAGAGCTTTGCTTCCCAGGTGTCAAGAGTCACATGTTCGGAGTTCAAGTCTTGTTGCAGTGATGATGATGATGATTAACAAATCTTCCCCAGTATCAGATCCCAGGTTAAACACTTTAGATACAATTAATTCTGTCAACAATCCTATGTGACATGTATTACTATCATACTCATGATACAGAGGAGAAAACCAAGGCTTAGAAAGGTTACATTGTGGACTGTGGTCACATGGCTGGCAAAGCGCAGAGCCAGCCCTGGACCCACTCGGCTACTCCTCTACAGCTGGGCCTGTGCATCCAGCCTTCTGCAGCCAAGCCTCACAGCCTCCCTGGGCCTCCTTCCAGCTCTCTTTGGTCCTTTATAGGCCACTCTCTCAAGGGCCCCCACTGTGATCCACAGGTTGTCAAACCTTATCTAAAGGTGTCCAGTTTGGTGGAAACCCCTAAGCTTCCACCCTCCCAACTCCCACGTCCTCTCTGTGCCCTCCCAGGGCTTCCTGGAGGAGGAGGAGTTGTGGGGAAGGGAAGTCTCATCAGCACTAAGAGTCCCCTCTCCAGGTCCCTCAAGACTTCAATATGGCAAACTGCTCTTCCCAGGCCCCTCCTCAGATCCAATTCTGGAGACTGGCAGTTTCTCCTCCCTGAAAAAGCCATCAGCATTCCACATTACACGGTTAAAATTTTGCCTGATCTTCGTGGGTTAGTGGGTGTTTTAATTCAATAGGGAATTCAAGTCTGGGTTTTAAATGCCATAGAAAAAGAAAAAGTTACTGTCTTTTCAGAATGCCCATTGTAATTTGTCCTTAGAGTCCCCCACTCCCCTCCCCATGGTCCTTTTTCCACTTGAACGGACAAACTGAGCCACCAGATAAATACAGCTGCAAAGTGAAGTTATGGATATGATTTCTTTCCCTCATTCATTTGCCCTTCTGGCTTAGTCAAGTCATAGATGAAAGACTGCTCACATTTTCTTTGACCGAGTCTACGGAGTGCAAAGCCAAGGGCTGATCAAGCAATCTTGATAATTTGATACATTTGAAAGTATAACATAGGGAGTGGATTATCTGTTTAACCACACTGATCAGTTTAACCAAGTATCTGTGAGAATGTCACCCCATACACAGTGGCAGCTCTGCTCCCAATCATCTTTATGACCTCTCAGGAATTCACTTTCCCCATCTGTAACATTTTGGGGATTGGATCTGAGAATTCTGAGGTCCCGAAAGTTCTTGGGATCTTTATTTTATAAGTACAAAATGCATCATTTGAAAGTCAGGTAAGTTAGGGAATGGATGGTTAGAATAAAAACAATCCTCTATAAAATTTTTACCACGTAATTATTTTATGGAGCAAGTTTCCACTGTGCACTTGAAACGGGATTCAATTTACAGAAATCTGGCTTGCAGCCCACTTTTAAGTGACACTTTTACCATTTCAAGTGGGGCTTGCCTGTGGGTCACGGTTTCTAAAAACACTATCAGGGGATCCCTGGGTGGCGCAGCGGTTTGACGCCTGCCTTTGGCCCAGGGCGCGATCCTGGAGACCCGGGATCGAATCCCACGTCGGGCTCCCAGTGCATGGAGCCTGCTTCTCCCTCTGCCTATGTCTCTACCCCCCCCCTCTCTGTGACTATCATAAATAAATAAAAATTTAAAAAAAATTAAAAAATAAAAACACTATCAATCCTCCCTTCCTCCACAAAGACTCTGGCAGTGAAACATTAGTAGAACTTATTCTAAAATCATTACTTCTCTTAGATTGAGGGTTTTTTTTTTTTCCTTTTTTTTTTTGTCAAAATACAACAGATTATATCACTCATTGCCTAAAACACTGCAGAGGTGTCCACTGTGCTCAGGGTCGAGGCCAGGCCCTTGTGTGTCTATTTGCCCCACCTGGAAGGTTCCTGCTCTCTCTTTCATTTCCCTTTACCTGAGAACTCAGCTCAATCATCACTTCAGAGAACTGTCCTCTGACCCCCTTGATGAAATCTAACTGTATTCTAACTGGGAGATGTGATGTGAAGTTTCTTTGGATGAGCAAGTTCTGGTCACGAATAGCCTATAGGCTCCATTGTTGCTCTACAAGGCACACTGTTTGCCCACTGTGTGCACCACGCCATCCAGGCACTGGATTCACTTCAGGGTCTCTGTCCTCCAGAAGCTTACAGTCGGCTGGGTCAACAGACAGTAATCAGATACAAGAATGAACATGCCTGCCACCGCCCCCCTCCCTCCACCTCCAGAGCTTATTGAGATGAACAAGGGATTGCAGGGAGCGTGGGGTGTGTGTTGGGAGGGCAGGGGGGGACTGCCAATGCATCACGCTCCTGTGGAGGAGGAGTTTAGGTCATAATCACACATATGCTGGAACAGTCCTTTACTGCTTTCAGTCTAAGAAGCCGAACGAGAGAAAGGACTGACATCCCCTGGCCGGCTGTGCCAGCTTGAGAGATGGTAAGAGGACCAAGGGTCTATTCTCCTCCTTGTCCTCCAAGCTACAGGTCTTCCCACCCTCTTGGACTCTACCACTGTGCCCCAGTGTCAAGGTCTGTTTTATTCTTCTTCGAATAAATTTCTATCCCAGAGGTACATTCTGTTTCCCGTCAAATATGGCAGTGACATGGCCTACCATTTTGATGTAATGTTCATAATATTATGGAACATCTATGCTACCATTCCCATTTCACAGACAGGGTACCAGATGCAAGGATAACAGTGGCTAGTTTGTGGCAGAACTGGGACCTCAAAGCCAGGGCCGCGGCTCTTTAGTCCAGGGCTTTCCCCACCCTGTCTGAGCCTCCAGGGCTAAACCAGGCCCTGTACAGGGCCCCAAAGAGCCAAAGTTGGCTGCCTCCTGCTGGCAGGGAGCTCCTTCAGGCTCCTGGTCCTAGGCTAGGGAAGGGAGTGTGAGAAATGAAGAGGGTGGATTATGCACAGAGGCGGTCTACATTCCCATTTCCTCCCTCATCACGGAAGGAGGAGATGGCTTACACATGGGGGGAGGGGGGATGAAAAGCAAGAATTCGTAAGAGTTGGTAAGTGTCAGAAAAGTATTTACTCACATGCATTCCCTGCAAGTCACCTTCTCCATGTGCTCCTATTTGTCTTTCAACGATGGCACCGGTCAGGTGGATTCAGCACGAAATCCCAAGGTTCTAGCCAAATGCTGCAGAGGGAGAGTTTCATTTAACTTCATTTTTCCAGCCGGGGCTGGCTCAGAAGCGAGTTTTTCTGACTCGGTCCTTGGCTACATGCACAGCAAATTCCCAGAGGTTTCTGAGACTGCCGAGACCTGACACAAGATGCCTGCTCCCACCCGCCCGCCCACCCACTCACTAATAGGACATGGAGCGCTCCTATTTTTGGTAACAATTAAAGGGCCTCCCGGTGCAAGGCAAAGGGCTGTTTATTTTCTGTTACATCACTTCACTTTGCCTTCGAAGGCTGGTCTGCGCGCGGCGTGGCGTTCTCGTGGTGATGCAAGTCGGCTCTCTCCTCCAGCCCTTGGGTCCCTCCCATCGCCAGCACCTCACAGGTCTCTTCCCGAGCAGTGCGCTGCTGGAGCCAAGAGCAGCTCACGAATCAGCTGCAGGTCCCCGTTTTGAAAAGCAGAGATACAGAGGCAGAGGAAAAGGGTGGACTCCTGTGTGACCTGGTCTCAGAGCAAGACAATCACCAGCTGAATTCCAGAAGCCCTGTTCATGTTCGGGGATATTTTTTCGACTGCATGGAATCAGAGAGAAGCCAAAGGATGGGAAATGCCTGCATCCCCCTGAAAAGAATTGCTTATTTCCTATGTCTCTTATCTGCGCTTTTGCTGACTGAGGGGAAGAAACCAGCGAAGCCAAAATGCCCTGCCGTGTGTACTTGTACCAAAGATAATGCTTTATGTGAGAATGCCAGATCCATTCCACGCACCGTTCCTCCTGATGTTATCTCATTGTAAGGCCCGTAAGCATTTTGATATCTAATTTACGATTTAAAAATTCCAGCTGATGTATTTGGGGCTTTGTATGTATCAGTAGCAGTAGGAGGGCATGGAGAGAGAGATTCCTCTTGCGTGCTTGGCCATTTGACAGTGCTAACATTTTGCTGCATTTGGAAATTTTGATTTTGATTAGCTGCTATGGAACATGCTTAGATGCCCCCCACCCCTGACCATTATTATGAGAAACCTGTAGCAGATTCATCTCTCCTACTTCATCTGGGAAGGAACAGTATCGTACTTCATAAAATAGTGTCGAAATAGTGACTGTTTTGCTAAACCAGATTAACATAAGGTTTGTTCTGTGTGTGTGTCTCTTTGTGTACGTCTGTTTGTTTTTTGTTTGTTTTCTTTCAGATCCTTTGTGAGATCTGGTTTTACTGAAATCTCAGAAGGGAGTTTTTTATTCACACCATCGCTGCAGCTCTTGTGAGAAATATTTATATCATGACTATTTTTAATATAGCATATATTTGGATAAGCCCTCGGCTAGTAAAACGATCTCAATATTAATTTTGTCAAATGTGATTGTATTTCTGGAAAGAAAAAGATGATTAGTAAAGTCAGAGGTAGCTGGGTTTGTTTGCGACTTGACACGGGCAGTGCAGGTTGATTCTTGCAATGGTAAATTTGCTAACCTGTAATGCTGTCTACTTTAATGGCTATTTATGAAGTTGTTGGAATGTTTGCAACAATGATCCCCATTCCATGCCACTATTTTACTTTCATTTTTGACTTGGGAACTTTGCTTATTTTGCCCTGGAGTTTTTGAATTAGTCGATACAGAACCCTGCATAACATATGCGCTCAAGATGTTGTCTCCCGGGGATGTGGGGCAGGCTGCTACTCTGTATGATTTACCATGTGGGGAAAAACAAATCCGGGTTCTTTCTAGGTAACTCCTTAATATATTAACTCTCGTGAGGCTGTTTTCTGATCTCCCATAATTTATAACTAGTCCCCTTACAAGGAGGGAAAGAAAATATTAATATAGGATAGTGCAAAGGATTAGTCTTTGCTGTGTGTTTTGAGTTAGCCACGAGGGAACCACATATTCCAGCTATGTCTCAAAATAGTCAAAAAACAATATTTAACTAAGAAATCAGATTTCTCCACAGGCACAATATCACATGTATAATTTGTTCTGATATGTAATGTTTGGCCATTGGAGTGCTAGTTCTTAGAGCTGGACCACGTGAGGGTCAAGAAGTTCCCCCCTCCAGGACTCAGGTGTCAGGCGACAGATTAGAGTTGTAGTGACATGGTTCCAGGAGGAAATTAGCCAATTGTTGATCAACTGAGCTTTCATTATCTGAACTGCATGATTCAGGACCCAAGTTTTTTACTTGCTTATTTTTTGTTTGGGGTTTTTTGGTTAGTTGTAGTTTGTTTTGTTTTTGTTTTTGTTTTTTTGCCCTAATTGGCCATTTTGGCTGTTCGAGGTTATATATACAGAGACAAACAGCATGGTTTGAAATTGGAGAGACCTGTGTAAATCTATCCTCACCACTCACTAGAAACCAGACATGGAAACTTGTGCAAATGACTAAGTCCCTCTGAGCCTCAGTCTCCTCATCTGTAAAATGGAGGTGATAGTACATTGAAGGGTTGTTTATTTATCAGAGATAAATAAGATTTAAGTAGATAAATTGCTTGGTGTCAGGTATGACAAATGGTTACACATTTTATGAAAGATAGGTTTTTAATTTGTACGTAAAGCTGAAAAGCTAAAAACAAATTCTATTAAGTCTATTAATCTGTTGTTTTATCTGTATGAAATTCCAAAACTGGCCTATTTCATTGAAATCACAAACCTGACCAGGTGTCCAGACATTATGTAACAATGTTGGCTTAATGTCTTTCTACTAGCTAATGTCTGGGGGTGATATACAGTTGAGTAGAATATTCTTAAGGGATTGATCTTATTGAAGGCTAGTGGTATGATTAGGGGAATTGTTAGCACATCAAACAAATCCAAAAAAGAGTCTTTAGCACATAAAGAGGCAAAGTCTCCAATGCTGGGATCCTTCCGCAGCATAAAAATTGGTTGTATCTGGAAAAGTGATAACTGTGCTTATGTTGTCCACTTATTAAATAAACAAATGGCTCATTTAAAAGGCATCCTTTTCAGGAGCTAAGGCACTTCTTTCTCCCCAGGATAGTTAAATAGATGAGTCCTTAAAATTCAAGGAGAGGCATCAGTCAATACATACTAATATTCCAACAGTAAGTAGACGTTAGCTGTGACAGAAAACCTGGCTTGAGCAACACCCAATCAGTTAGAACACGTCTACTTGGTTTGTTTGTTTTTTTTACAGTGATGGACCAGCCTCACAAGCGCAGATGCTGGACAGTGGTATAGGAATAGTTACCGGCTGCTGCGGGGTAATGTGATTACACGTATTTAGAATCACAGAGGGAAGCCAAGGAACTGGTTTTAAATAGCCCACACGGAGTGTGTGCCATGCCCCTGTGTCCCATGCTCTGAGTTCCTATGGAACATTCCAGCCTTTTATTTCTAAAGCAGTTCAGGTTTCAGAAATAACAAAAGGGCGAGTAATTCTTGCCCTGTTTGTCCTTGCTTAACTCACATTGGCTAACCTCAACATGCAGATTTGTGCCGGGGCAGATCTTATGCAAAAGTGTCAGGTGTCAAAGTTTGTCTCCGATCTGAGCACCTTGTTTCCTAATGATTTTGTTTCCCATTCTTCCTGCCCAATGGTCTTTGCTTCCTCCTTCTACTGAGGAGAGGGTCTAATAAGCTCATTTTCACTGAGAGGGAAATAAATCATAAGACTCCAAACATGAATTGTGCCATAATCATAACATTGATGGGAATAGATGGTTCACAGACGAAAAGAGTTCTTCTGTGGGACAGGGCCATCCAGTGCCCTGAACTCCACATGGGCTGCCAACCCCCACCCCCTGGCACATGAAGACGAAGGGGTCTGAATTTGCCTTTGCCTGACTTTTGCCATGAGATGAAGCCTGGATCACACCAGCCATTTCTTGTGGTTTGCAATGAATTCTAATAGCATTTGTGACCATGGATTACCAAACTGACCTGTCAAATCCTGTGAAGAGATAAACTTCAGACTTGATTCTGCTTGTTTGATGTGCAAAGGCAGTTGGTTTCTTGCTCTGTTGTTGGAAAGGGAAAAGAAATGACCCATTCCCACCATCCATGCTGACAGTCTGATGATTTTGTTATGGCCCCACATGCTTTTTCAGACCTTCTGCAGAAGCATGATGAGAAGTACTTTTTGAAATGTCAGCCTGGGGTACTGAGGAAAACAGACGCAGTGCCTCCTGAAGTTACATTCTGTGTTTTGGGAGAAAAGATCCCGGTAGGCCATGGCTGATGTGTGTCAGAGAGCAAAAAGAACAAAAGGCTACACTCTGTAGAGAGGAGAGGAAGAAAAAGAATTATCTAGTAAAAATTCATCAAATTAGTTGTACAAAAAAACTTTTTAAAAGATTTTATTTATTTATTCATGAGAGACACACAGAGAGAAGGCAGAGACACAGGCAGAGGGAGGAGTAGGCTCCCTGTAGGGAGCCCGATGTGGGACTTGATCTTGGAACTCCAGGATCCCGCCCTGAGCTGAAGGCAGACGCTCAACCACTGAGCCACCCAGGTGTCCCTAGCTGTACAAAATGTTTTAAAAATATCTTATTTCTGGTTTTAAGCAGCCACAATAACAAAACTTTGCCCGAGCAAATGCAATTTCATTCAAGTTTTCCATAGAGCCAGGTGTGAAACATAACCAATGAGAATGATTATTCATTTGGGTTTGCTTTTAGCAGTGGGGAACTGTGCTTGTAGTGAATGCAATTTACAGAAATGTGTTTTCACACATTAAAACCCTGTTCTTCTCAACTACAGACTGAAATCCCCAATGATAAAAGCTCTTTGCAGAAGTAAAATTCTAACTGAATAGTATAAAACGTGGCCACATTGCCATTTGTTCATAAAATTTTTAATAAACGAAATCCCTCTGACTCTTGCAAGAGTTCTATTTGCAGGGAATAAATTACAGGGTTGATTTTTGTATAGTGCTCAAAAAAAAATTCCATGTACATAAGAACTCAGTGTGGTCAGAAGAAAATTCTCTTTAATCCAGTAATATTTGGTTTTGTTTGGAGCAATAGAATTGATCCTTCTGGGGGATAAAAATCACTATTTAATAATCCACAATCAAGACACAAGTACATAGTTCATAAGAAGTAAAAAACTAAAAAAGGAAAAAGCAAATACTATGAACAAGATAAATAATGAGTTCATCTTTATGAAGGTTTTATCATGTAGTCCCTCAAAATATTATTTGTCCAGGAAAAAAATATCCATGGCCTATCTCACCTTTCCAGTGATCAACCCCTTTCTCAAATTCCTCCTCATATTACAAGCATAAGAAAAATGTAGCACTCTTTAATGACTACTCAAGCCAGACCTAAAAGCTAAGAGGGCTGCTAGAGGAATTATTAGCTGATTATGGGTGAGCGTGTTTTGGTTTGTGGCCAGCTAATGCCCCCTACAATAGAACAAGGAGTAAAGATTTCAGTCAGCAACTAGACTGTTTTGTCTAAAATTTGCCTAATGACCCCTAGCTCTGATTTTTAAACTTTTTAATTACTTAATTGTTGTGACTGCAAATTAACCCTATACAACCAATGTTTTCTCTGAAAGTGTATTTCATCTTCTCAATTATTCAAGCAAGAAATAGGAGTTACCAGCCACTTCTCCTTCACTGTCCACTTGCAACCAGACAAATCCTCTCTCAAACAGGAGGAGAACCTGCCACCTCGTCTTCACCCCAAGGCCATGGCCCTAATTGAAGCTGCAATCAGTGATTCATGGGCTGCTGTGGGAACTTCTGTATTGGGTGCCTATCATACCTATCTCCATTAGTGTTACCTTCCTAAAACACAGATCTCATCATGTCACTCTTGTGCTTGGAAATTTTTAGTGATTCCCCAGAAACAGAAAAAGTCTGAATGCCTGAGTTGGTATTAATAGAATTTGGTTATTTGACCGGGGTCATCTCTCATAATATTGACACCATGCACAAACACACACACACCCAGGTACACACAAACACTCCCTAAACCCTAGCCATAACAAACTGAAGTACCTTATTCCCTGACCTCTGTTCTTTCGAACTCTATAGACTTTTTAGATATCTCTAATTCTTCCTGTCACTAGAGCTATTTGTGTTTCTATCTGCCCCATGTCTCTGAACGTCATGGAGGGTTATCAATAGCCAAGGTCCTAGAAAAGAGCTGGGATGTTGCAAGCCTAGACTAGCACATATTTGTTGAATTCAATCCATAGTTTCACAAATTTTATATTAAAGAGTCTTGCTTTTCTATCAGTAGATAATCACATTCTTTTTAACGTTTGATGTACCCTATCAGATTTCACATGAACT